GCCTTCGCAGAATTCTGAGGATCCGGTGGCAGGATAAGATACCAGATACAGATGTCCTCTCCAGAGCAGGCCTATCATCAGTTTACACTCTGTTGATGAAAGCCCAGATGCGCTGGGCAGGCCACGTTGTAAGGATGCCAGACCATTGCATCCCTAAACAGCTCTTCTATGGTGAGCTGTCTCAAGGAAAGCGATCGCACGGGGGACAAAAGAAGTGATACAAAGACACGCTGAAAGCATCTCTCAAGTCCCTGGATATCAACACCATCTCTTGGGAATTTTTGGCGCATGATCAACCGACATGGCGTACCCTGGTTTACCAGGGTTGCCAGACATATGAACACAGAAGGACAATCTTGGCACAAGAGAAGCGAGCACTCCATAAAGCCAGAGCTGCAAATGCTGAAGCAATAGTGTCCATATTTCTCTGTTCAGTATGTGGCAGAACATTCCGTGCTAACATCGGTCTCATCAGCCATCTATGGACACACCGCTGATGGTCCATAATCCATAAGATGTCAAGGTCTTCATCGAAATCGATGGACAAACAACAAGATGCTTATGACAGAATCAGAAAAAAATCTGATATCTATATTCACTCTTTACTTTCTCCTGCATATATTTTGCCCTTACCTGCCCTAAGATCAACCATGGCATTTATAATTCCTATGGTATAATGATATTCTTGGATACCTTGCCTACTGCTATTCCATTGTTATGTTGTCAAAAACACATAGACAAATCTTCTGTTTATTACATCATTGTTTAAAATTAATTCTGAGGTATAAAAAATAAATAGTTTTGATTCTTGTAACACACCTCACATTTTTAGCATCTATTTGACATGAGAAATTTGCTCTTGCCTCTCACCCACACAAAAAGAAAAGTGCAGTATGAGTTGCTTTTTCTTTTCATTTAAAAAGCTAAATATATTTATCATTTCTTTTACATAGAATAGTTGTAGAAAATAATGTTAAGATATCTCAAATCATCAGTTTCCATAATAAATCAATCTTTTAGTATTTTGGTGACATTAAACTTTGCAAAAACTTATGCAGGATTCTTCACTTAAATTCTTTTAAATCCTTACTTTGAAGACATCACAAAATTTGTGAATTACATATGCTTTGTGTCAACCATATACAAAATGTCATGCTAGATCAATACATTGTTTTACAAGTCACTTTATAACAATCTATCATTGTTATAAAACTATCCGAATTTTCTTGCTGCTTATATTTCTGTAACCTGTGCTTGTCATGTTTACCTTATTCTTCTTTCTTTTTCGATGAAATCTTAACAGTTCTTTATGTTGTCTTGACACAAAATTTACAGCTGCATATTCCAGAAGTGCAGAGAACACAAAAAGCAAGCAAACAGCCATCCAGATGTCAATAGCCTTGACATATGATACCTACAGATAATACAGAGTAGAGGATTGCTGGTATAAAAACAGAGATAGGACAGTATAATGTCTCCAAATGTCAAGGGAAGAAAATATGCCTCCTCAAATCATAGTAAAGAGCGAAAGAGGAAAATCTGGATGTCCTGAAAGCAACATTATTAGAAGCAAGTTTTAGTCTCAAAGTATCTTAAGACTTTATCTTTATGACATTCCATGTTAGGCAGAAATATGCTAGATCACCTTAAGTAATCATCAGAGGTTATTCATAGTGAAAGGCAGCAAACTTTCACTTGGATTATTGAATTTTGGTATTCCATTTATGATGCTTTATGTCTTGCATCATTCTACAAGAGTTATCAGGTAAACAAATCAGATTGACATAACTGCCACAATTTGTTTTCTGTAAAATGAAATAAAATAATTTATTTTATTACTTTTTTTAAAGTAGTACTCACTTTTCTTATGGCAATGGATATAAGATAGCTTGACTAATGCTACTTCTCAATAATAGCCATGATAATAGAAAGAAATGTAGAACCTTATTACAAAAGTAAAGCAGTAATCCATACTATATTGTAAAGCCTGCAGCAACAATATGCCTTACTTAGAAATATACAGTTTATATCTTGTAAGATGCAATAACATGTTTATATTTCTATATCCAATTAATTTTGATATTTACAGTATAAGAACAGTTTTAACAGCTACTGTATATATAAGAGACAATTCTCTATAATCAATCAAAATAAAAACCTTCAGAAGGTCTCACCTTTGGGAGTGAAGCCCGTGATCCCGAACTCTGGGTCGTCATTGTGAGTACAGTTGTTATACCTAGAGCCACTCTAGCCGGAGCAGCATCCATGTTGATCCAAAATGACACCCATGACAGTATGACAATCAGGAGACTGGGAATATACATTTGAATAAGATAATATCCCATCTGCCTTTCAAGATGGAATCGAACTTCAATGCAGGTAAACTTTCCTGGTAATAACAGAGAGCAACTGTTAGAGCACAGGTGTCAAACTCGCGATGTTACGTGATGTGTCACGACGTATCACAACTTTTTTCCCATTGCCAGCAATGGGGTGGACGCGGTTTTGGTGTGACGCATCCAGCCCGCAGGCCGACAGTTTGATACCCCTGTGTTAGAAGAACAAGCTATATTCCATTATCACCTGCCCTTGATGCAATTACAGAATAATGTCAGTTACTATTTGCTTGTAATGTATTACAACATCCCTCACTAATTGTTCATATACTTGTTCATTTATTTATTGTATCTTACTCTACAACTCCTATAGTTCTCATTTAACTTCCTGGAGCATTTAATGATCTGCTTGTGAATTCCAGTCAATGTGATTAAATCAATCTTGCCTGGAATAGTACAATAGTACATGCTTATATTGGTCAAACTCTTTATAAGCAACTTGAGTTCAGCTGAATTTTACCCAGTATCCAAGGTTAAGCATATGAGGCAGAAAATCCTGTAAAGATTTCCAGAATGGATCCAGATTTAATTTTACTTTAGGCAACCCATGATCCACTGAGTCATCTTTTCAGAGATATTTCCTTACCAGATTCCTCATTTTCTTCAACAATGACAGAATTTCTAATGTCTTAACTATAAAAACTGAGACACATTCAAAAATGTACCTTCCTTGAAAAATAACCCATTTTGAACATTTTATATCATGTCAGAAACTGTTTTATGATAATTTCAATGTCATAAAATGTTTTATATAATTTGCTAAATTTCAATTCCATGGGAATCATGGGTCCTGAATTTTGGACACATTCTGTAAGTTAACCGATTTGAGGTACTTTGGTTAAAAAATGTCCTACCATGTACAGTTTTGTTCAGTTTAAAGTTACAGAAATAAGAGTTCTGTAGTATAAGCTACAGAAAATATTTATTTAAATAACTTTAAAGCAAATGAACTCATTTTAAGTTATTTATTACAACCCACTAAATAGATAATTAAAGATGGAGCTACTTCAGTAATAATGTTAATGATAAATAATTGGCTGTCTTAAACTCGCTTTATTCTGCTTCTTTGTAGGGCTGATGCTAACAATAAACAAAAGGAATGCAAAAATACATGTAAAATATAACAATAATTGTTTCTTAGAAAACCGGACATAATCAACATGTTACTATTCTTACTTATAACACTATGATAATTTTCTTTAATCAACAGTGGCAGAAGCACAGCTGTTCCCAGTGGTCATAAAGATGCTTGATTTCCTGTTTTGATAAATATCCTGCAGCATTCCAGATGTAAAACATTTGTATGTGAAAATGAAATAGGAAGTATTTTTTTCCTGAATCAGCATTCTCCAGTGGTTTAAAAATATTGTTATTTACAATAACAATATTTATGTTATATGTTCTCCTTTATAGTCTTGAATCTGGAAGTAGCAAATTAAAATAAAATTATCCTAATAAAAAGAATCATATATTTGAAAATGAGGACAAAAACCTTCAAAATACTATAAAGCAGGACCTCAGGTATCCAGCCTACAATGTTTTGTCTAATTTTGTCTACCCTCATGCAAATTATCTAAATTGACTTTATTTCTTTCATTGTACTGGATTGTTTGTTGTCTAATATTTTGTGGCTGATGTTATCACCTATTCATGAAGTTATGATGTGTATTATGAAACTCATCTCCTACATATAAACAATCCTTGGCCCAAGAATCATTACTACTCTATGATTAACTACACCAGGGCTTTTCAACCTTTTCACCCATTGTACCACGTTTAGGATATGGCAACATCCGAGTACCACCAGTCGCCTAGTAAAGTGTCAAAAACTTGATGACCAAAAAAAAAAAAACAAACCACGGGAAAAAAGTGATAAAGTACAGGTAGTCCTCAACTTACAACAGTTCGCTTAGTGACTGTTCGAAGTTACAATGGCACTGAAAAAAGTGCCCCCCAAGCCACAGCCGAGCAAGACACCTGCCTGCCTGCCCGGCCGCGCTCTTCCTCCTGTCTGAGGTTTCCATTGTTGTGAGCATTTCTGTTGAGGATTGGCAGCGGGGGTGGGGTGGGGGGTGTTTGGTTTTTATCCCCCCCCCGTTTGCTGGGTGGTTGCAGCAGGTTTTGGTCAGTTCACATGACCCTGGGACACTGTGACCGTCATAAATATGAATCAGTTGCCAAGCATCTGAATGTAAATCACAAGACCCTGGAGATGCTGCAACATTCCAGCTGATCGGCGCTTCTTCTGGGCTCAGCGGAAGTGCCAGGATCAGCGCTGAGCTCCAGCTGGAGCCTGGCGCTGATCCTGGCACTTCCGCTGAGCCCTGACAGCCCTGCAGCTCCAGCCGTCTCTCACTCAGGCTTGTGCGGTGCTGCCACCGGTTCAGCTCATTCCCCTCCCCCGCTACCACTTTTCTAGGATGGTCGCGTACCACCTGCCAGGTGCCAATGTACCACAGGTGGTACCTGTACCACTGGTTGAAAAGCCCTGAACTACACATTTGAATATATTTTCAGAGAACAAAGAGTTACAATGTTCTTTCAATTGACAAAACTCTGAGTAGTTTTCCCACCTGTATTGTAGTGTTTTGTGCAGTAACAAAGATCTTTATCTTCTTTCAACAAAAACTGTGGCAAAGTGAGTCCATCAGCTACTTGTACAGCACCATTTTCTTGCCATTCAAATACAAGATCATTCATTGTATAACCAACTAGGAAAGGAAGTAAAAAAAAAAAGTTGAATGAAAATTAACACACATTTAATTGACAAATGTTTCTCCAATTAAATAAGGCAGGATCAAACATAAAAAAACAATACTGTTGTCAAATAAAAAACTCTGTATCACTTACATGTGGCTCAAATTATTTTTTTTTATGTCAAATGTAAAGTGTATGAACTTCTGGAGTGCTACAGTATATGGACAGAAAATGCAACTTCTGTACCAGTCATATCATTGCTTTATTAATTTTGATTCATAAAATAAGACAAGCTTTTGCCTTGATGGATGTAATATATCACTAATTTTATCATATACAGGTAGTCCTTGACTTACAACAATATTTTAGTGACCATTCAAAGTTACAACGGCATTGAAAAAAGTGACTTATGACTTTTTCACACTTATGGCCATTGCAGTATTTCCATGGTCACATGTTCAAGATTCAGACGCCTGGCAGCTGGTTCATATTTATGATGCTTGCAGTGTCCCAGGATCATGCAATCACCTTTTGTGATCTTCTGACAAGCAAAGTCAATGGGGAAGCCAGATTCAGTTAACTATTTTGTCACTAACTTAACAACTACAGTGGTTCACTTAACAACAGTGGCAAGAAAGGTAAAAAAAATGGACAAAAATTCACTTGACAAACCTCTCACAACATAAATTTTGGGTTCAGTTGTGGTTGTAAGTTGAGAGTTACCTGTATTTAATAGCAATCTGATCCAACTAATGATATAGTATATAAATTATTGTGATAAGTCACAAATATAATTACAATTATACCAGTTCAAGACCAACAGTCTATTAATCTTAACAACTGATGATGTTAGATACCGTATTTTTCGCACCATAAGACGCACTTTTTCTCCCCCAAAAGATGGGGGGAAATGTCTGTGCGTCTTATGGAGCGAATGCCACCTCCCACCGCACCGTGCCAGCTGACAGGCGCAGGAGGTAGACGCCGCCGCGGTCTCCCAGCCGCTTGCTTCTTCGTCTGGAGCAGTTGTAAGGGCTTGCATGTTCGGCGGCGGCAGCGGGGAGCGCGGCAGCGGCCCTTGGGGACCATGCAAGCCCTTGCAATTGCGTGCTTCTTCGGATGGAGCAATTGCAAGGGCTTGCATGTTCGGCAGCGGCGAGCGTGGCGAGCGGCGAGCGCGGCAGCGGGGAGCGCGGCAGCGGCCCTTGGGGACCATGCAAGCCCTTGCAATTGCGTGCTTCTTCGGATGGAGCAATTGCAAGGGCTTGCATGTTCGGCGGCGGCGAGCGGGGAGCGCGGCGAGCGCGGCAGCAGCCCTTGGGGACCATGCAAGCCCTTACAATTGCGTGCTTCTTCGGATGGAGCAATTGCAAGGGCTTGCATGTTCGGCGGCGGCGAGCGCGGCGAGCGGGGAGCGCGGCAGCGGCCCTTGGGGACCATGCAAGCCCTTGCAATTGCGTGCTTCTTCGTCTGGAGCAATTGCAAGGGCTTGCATGTTCGGCGGCGGCGAGCGCGGCAGCGGGGAGCGCGGCAGCGGCCCTTGGGGACCATGCAAGCCCTTGCAATTGCGTGCTTCTTCGGATGGAGCAATTGCAAGGGCTTGCATGTTCGGCGGCGGCGAGCGCGGCGAGCGGCGAGCGCGGCAGCGGGGAGCGCGGCAGCGGCCCTTGGGGACCATGCAA